GCCGTCCCTACGCTGTGGCACTTCGCACTCACTTGTCTGGAGGATTTACTTAGTACAAATGAACTTGTGCCTCAAATTTGTACATAACTAAAAGGAAGAGGGGGAAGAGCACGCAATAGTAGCTTACCAGCCTTTCAGAACATGGAAATACTCATGGATGAGTCAGTTGTAGAGCAACTTCTCTGAAGCTTAAAGGGGGATGTTTGAGCTAGAAACAGAGCAGTCTTTGATCTGCATCAGTCCCAAGGGGCTACTTGCAGGTTGTGGGTGTCTGGGTGGGTGAAGCACTTACCCCTGTGCTATGGTTTCCACCACTGATGCAGCCAGCTAGGCAAGGATTAAAATATGTTATTCCATCTGATCCACAGACAGGCTCGTACTCATGAATCTTACATCCACAGTTAACATTACAGCTCCCAGTCAGATTCCTGTGGGCCATGGCAAGAGTGGGACTGAAGAAAGGAAAAAGAACATGCTAGTAGAGAAAGCACAGATATCCTCCTGTTCAGAGGCAGAAAATATCCTACTCATTAACTCTGGAACTGAGAATTTATTATCACAGAAAGATTGCATTAACTCTAGGTTGTATACATGATTTAAACTATATAGAAGAACAATCAAGGCATTCTTGCCATCAACTAAAAACATAATACAAAAATAATACGAAAGTTTAAAACTTGTACCTTGTTTGCCTAGCTGATAGTTGAACTTTTCCTTTTTTTTTTCCTTTAAGAGTTATTTTATATATCTATCCTGAGCTGCAGAAATTTGTTGTTGATTACTAGTGAAAGGCTCAGTGACAAGATGTAAGCATTATGTGAACTAATAGGCATCTCTGCCCACATACCAACAACTGCTCTGAAAACTTAATGCTTGTATTATTCATATGAAACCTACGGGAAGCTCTCTAGATCTGGAGGAATGCTGTGCTATTACTGAATGTCTGTAAGAGAACCACTACTCCACTTTCCTAAACAATTCCCAAAAATCTTGCCAAAGCCCAAGTGTCTTTGTCCTCCCCAGAAGGGTTTGGCAGTATACTCAGAAGAAACTAAAGGGAATTTCAAAGCCGAAGAACACATACACCTCAAAGAGCAGGATCTTCACTATCATAGAATCACAGAATGGTTTGGGTTGGAAGGGACCTTAAAGACTATCTAGTTCCAACCCTCCTGCCGTGGACAGGGACACCTTCCACTAGTCCAGATTGCTCAAAGACCCATCCAACCCGGCCTTGACTATCTATCACTTGCTCCAAACAGGTAGTTGAACAGGTCTCACCTGCCACAGCAGAGAACAGTATCATCTCTTCACTGGCAAGTGCCATGCCAGCCTGGGCATGTCCTCATCACAGGATGAAGGTGCAAAGGGATGCCACCAAGGCAGCAGCTCATGGCGATCATCTGGGCTCAGTGGATCATGCAACAAGGCCCAAATGAAGCACTGCACTGGAACAGCTACAAGTTCTTCCTGACTCACCCTCTCCTCCAGCTAAGACCTCTGCATGGCACAGCTTGGCCCCGTCTACAGAGCGCAAGTCATTTGGAAGCACTTTGCTGCCCCCACAAAATGGTGCTTTTTGCTACCAGTAGGAAGAGATCAACACTGGTTACAACTGATCGCTGACTGTCACAATCACAGGTTTTGACTCAGGTTGGCTAAGTCACACAGTCACCAAATTAACCAGCTCCTGTCTTACATACCAAACCACTTCAGACCTGCCCAAAACAACTCTCAGGTCACTTGTGCCAGCTTCAGGCACAAACCATGGAGGAGACACTCAGCTACTCCCTGTGCTGAAGGAAAGCGCATGGTGATACTGGACTTTTAACATTCCTAGGTTGGGTAAGGACTTGAGTACCAAAGGAGGAAAAGCATTAGCAGGCACAAAGGCAACCTCACTGAAAGAAAAGAATAGTCAAAAAACCCTATGTAACTGTATATGCAAATTTTGGTTGCAGAGAAAGAGAGTTAAAGAGAAAATGGATACTAGTTTGTTCACAAATTAAAAACAGACTGACATAACTGGACCCAGTTATGAGTATATACATATATTATATAGAGAGCTAATATAAGAGGATGTAAGGTGTCAATCTCTATTATCTAGAAGGTCCTCATTAATGAGGAAGTAGATGATGACCGTGTCATATTTTTCTGACAAAGAACTAGTTCTAGTACAGAAATCAAAAAACATGGAACCAAAACATAGGTGTTCATAATTCCCAAGTACATAGGAAGAAATATGGGGTGTCAAGAAGTGAAGTTGTGGTGGTAGTCTGGAGGAAGAACCTTACATTCTTTCATAGTTGCCTAGCAGCTAAATGTGAAATTATTACTGCATATAAATACGCCCTTGTTCAAAATGCTTGACAGACATTGGCAAACTAATTCTCACAGTGAGTAATGCTGTGTAAAAGTATTATCTCTGCACTTTCTGTATCACTTTAGAGGACATTTACTGAAAGCTTGTATGTATATGTTGGAAAATAGTCATCACTCCAGACAGACTTTTCACTCACTCTTCCACAGACCTATATCATTCTTTCTGAGTCTCCGGTCTATACTGCTTTCACATTCTAGACATGCTCACTCTTTGTTTAAACACCCTTCTCAGTAAGAGCCCATCATTCCCAGTGATTCATATTTCATTCCATTGTATTCCATTGTATTCCATTCCGTTCCAGTCCTGTCCTGTCCTATTCTGTCCTAGTCTAGTCTAGTCTAGTCCAGTCTAGTATAATCTATTCTATGCCTCTCCATTCCATGCCACCATTGTGACTGCTAAGTTGCAATGTCCCAGAACAGGATAAAAGGGAGCAGCCTCCTGTGTCCCCTGGCAGAGGTGGCCCAGGACAGCCAAGGATATCTGAGAGGAAGTCCTTGAGGAGCTGCTGGAGTTACTTACAGGGGCTGAGGGAGGAACACCAGCACCTGGTTGAGGCTGCTGGAGGTTCTGCATTGCAAGGCCAGCTCCTGGCAGGACCTGTTTCTTAGCTCATCGGAGGGATAGCGATCTTTTTCAGCTGGATAGCCGTGGCCATAGGAACTTATTCTTGAGGAGCACTGCAGAGCTCACCATCCTCATGCCCCATGGAGCCAGGGACAGCATTTGTACGCAATGGGATGCAGAGATCTTTCTAGGTGCTTTGGAGCAGCCACTGGTACCCTGCTTGGCATAGGAAGGATTATTGCCCCCAGGGTCAATTAGGCCACTCTCAGAAGCCCCTGGGGTGGCTCCAGGTTAAGGGAGAATAGGGCTTGTGCATCTCTCGGGAAGCGTGACCAGCCTGTAGTTGAGGAGCAGGTCTTGCTCACATGCTCAGGGATAGCCGATCACCAGCACTGGGGTCAGGAAGGAATTCTCCCCCAGGGCATATTGGCACTGATCTTGGGGGTTTTTTGCCTTCCTCTGAGCATCAAGCATGACCACTTGTCAGGGCTCCTCTGCTCCATCCTGGCTGCATTACTGTCTGCTGCTCAGCACCACGAAGGTGGCCCCTCATGTCCTGCTTTGCCTCCTCCGCAGCCGAGCACAGCCCCTCCATGGGGCTCCTTTGGGCTATTGTGGCCCAAAGGCAGCTGCTCGTGCTCCCCGCAGCTGGCCCTCGTGCCCGCATCTGGGGGGAGGAAGCCTTCTGGACTCCCAAGGTGGACCCAGCATGGCCCCAGGACTTGCTGCTTACTCTCTGTTGCATTGAGCACATCCACTTGTCAGGGCTCCCCTTTGGGCTCGGTGCTCGTCCGCTGCTCTCGCACCTCCAAAGCCCCACTTGTGCCCTGGCTCTCTCTGGCTCCATTGCCCAGTGCAAGCTCAGAGCGGGAGCAAGCTCTGCTCTTCCCCTGGCTCCATTTCCCCAGGGGTTCTTGCCTGTGCACAGCAGCCTGGAAGGGCTTCATCCCTGCTGCCCCACCAGCAGCTGACACTTTCCAGCTCTTCCTGCATGGAACACCAGTGCCGAGCCAGCATGAGAGCACTTTTCATTTATTCCTGACCAGGAAGTGCAGCAGCTGAGCAAGTGTTTGAAGTCGATAGTGTGCTTGTCACTAGTAGGTGTCACACTTCGGGAAATACCCCATGGTACCACACACCTTCTCCTTCTTCCACATTTGTGTGTGGTCAGTCCCGATGCTCATTCTTCATGTTCTCACTCTTCAGGAGACAGGGGCTGCTTGGCCTGTTTTCCTGCTGCTGCTTTCCGTGGCTCTGTGGCTTTGCTTTCCCGGGCTGCAAAGGATGTTTTTTCAAGCTAAGCTGAAGAATGCATCAGTTTATATACTGGGCATGACGTGCTGTAGTATAGAGTGCCCCTTTGGCTAATTAGGGTCAGGTGTCCTGTCTCTACTCCCTCCTGGCTTCCCCTCCTCCTGCATTACCCACCAAGTATATCCAGGTCCCTGAGCAAAAGCAACCCCACAAGTGGGTTTGCCTTTGAACAAATTAAACGAGAAATAGTTCATGCAGTAGCCCTTGGACCAGTGCGGACCGGGCCAGATGTGAAAAATGTGCTCTACATCGCAGCTGGGGAGAATGGTCCTACCTGGGGCCTCTGGCAGAAAGCTCCAGGGGAGACTCGAGGTCGACCCCTCGGCTTTTGGAGTCAGGGATACAGAGGATCCGAGGCCAGCTACACTCCCACAGGTTGAGATAAGAGCAGTCTGCAGTCCAGCAGCTAAGGTATAATACAACACCACTACTGCTATCACTAATAATAATAATGATAAGGGAAATAACAAGGGGAGAGGATACAGTTCCTGGCTACACGTGTGCATTGTGTTGATGCTTGTGAGGATCAGCTCTGAAACAGTTAAAAAAGCAACCAACCCCCCTCCCCCCCCAAAAAAGTAACATAAAATAACATAAAATTAAAAGTAACAAAACCAAAATCAAATGGAATAATAAAATAAAATCCTGTTTCCACTTGTAAGCTTTGTGATTTGTGTCTTTGAAAGTGTTTTTGGAGCTGCAAACCCCTGGCATTGCAGGGAAATAAGTCTCATTGTTATTCAGCTCAGGATGAGCATAGGGAATGGAATGAAAAGGAGTGGAAAGGAACAGAATGAGGAAAGGAAAGGAAAGGAAAGGAAAGGAAAGGAAAGGAAAGGAAAGGAAAGGAAAGGAAAGGAAAGGAAAGGAAAGGAAAGGAAAGGAAAGGAAAGGAAAGGAAAGGAAAGGAGGGGAAAGGAAAGGAAAGGAAAGGAAAGGAAAGGAAAGGAAAGGAAAGGAAAGGAAAGGAAAGGAAAGGAAAGGAAAGGAAAGGAAAGGAAAGGAAAGGAAAGGGACTACACTAGAGTAGAATAGAATAGAAATGGATGGGTTATGCTATGCTATGCTTGCAACTCTGCATGACAAGTGTTGACATAGGTCTAAGGCATCCACCCACAAGGGGGAATGAATTCAAGATGACAGAAGGTAGATTTAGATTAGACATTAGGAAGAAATTCTTCCCTGTGA